ATGAGTTTTGTACATTGAATAATAGATATGACATTTGTGACATTTGTCTCTTATCTTTACATTTGTATCCCTTACTTAATCCCCATTAAAAATAATTTAAAGAAGAAATATTTAAAAGCTGTTTGTGCTATAGGGGGAAACACTTACATGAAAAAGTTTATATCATAGTTCTTATTATTGTAAGAGAAAATGTTTTAATAAAATGTACAGTGTTTTTATTTCCTCCAAAACTGTATTAAATACTGCTGTCAGTAAATGTGATCAAAGATTAAAACAGCATTTTTATTTGAGCTCTTCTTCATTAAAAACAACAAATCCGGATTTTCATTCCCCTTTCCGGTGTGTACTTTATACAATCCAAGATGGTGACCATCACTAACTGAATACACACACTATTTCAGCGTTGTCAAATGCAATCATATGTGAGTAAATTTATAATAGATGTAATAAGTATTTGCTTTGTTAATCCAACAGTAGGTACCTCAATTAATTACCTATTGACCGGTGGTAATTGCTTTAGGCTCCAGTGAGCACGCTTGCCGGACACCTGTGGGCTTGTCGTCCCGGTCCCCCTCCCCACTAATTACAGGCTCCCTGTGGCAATACGTCTATCGTGCAACTGACCAGTGGGGTCATTGCTGGACTTGGGTCAGCTGTGTGATTTAATCAGTGTCAATTTCTTGTGTAAAAAGACCACCTTCAGTACAAATAACAAGGTGATACGGTTCACAGTCTAAGGTGATACGGGTCAATTAAGCTGATGCGGCAGGGAGGATTTCAAACTGAAGCTGATACGGAGCCGTATCAGCTTAATGGCCTGGGGAGAACCCTGCAGCCCCATCATTTGTACAATTTTGAATCCCCACCACCTAGGGATGCTTCCAGTCAAATATGGTTGATATCCATTTCTTAGTTCCAGAGAAGAAGTCGCTTAAAGCAATATAGCCAAATTGCCCACTTTTGGCCCCGCCCCTCAGCCCCCTGGGGGGTCAGCCCCAAGATTTGTACAATTTTGAATCCCCACCACCTAGGAATGCTTCCAGTCAAATATGGTTGATATCCATCTCTTAGTTCCAAAGAAGAAGTCGCTTAAAGCAACATAGCCAAATTGCCCCCTATTNTCCAGTCAAATTTAGTTGAATTCCAATCAGTTGTTAAGAAGAAGAAGTCGTTTAAAGAAATTGTTGACGGATGGACGACAGATGGACGACGGACGCCACGGTATGGCATTAGCTCACCTTGGTCCTTTGGACCAGGTGAGCTAAAAATAAAATGGTATTCAAATTAACAGTTCACAATACCTTGAATGTGGATGAACTGTTTGGTTTGTTTGAACTCTTCACTGTAAAGTTTGCCATAGCGATCAGCAATATCATCACTCTCAGGAATGGGGATGACCAAAGCTTCAGATGTACCATAGACCTGCTGTGCCGACAAAGCCCTCTGGAGATGGTGTTCCTGAAAGATGCAAAGTAATTCAAGATTCAACATTTGCTTTAACCAAGTGCTTCGCATACAAAGCCATATCTAAATACCTCCTAATTCGGGTCGATATTAAACTAATTTCTTTGGTTACTTTTATGAAAAAGAAAATTAGTCAAATATGTTCAATGATGCTGTATCATATATCAATGTGCACAAACTGCCTTTTCAGTGTCTGGAATTTAAAAAAATACGCAAAAAAGACTACGCAAACATATAGTTTCATCATAAATTATGAACTTTCAATCGCTATAGCTCCAACTTAAAATCTACCACCCCAAAATGTTTGATAAGTAGAATATTGGTATAAAATCCACTTGTCCGACATCTTGATCAACCAGTTCTGGCCTAAACTAGTAAACAAACAACATTAGAAATATTATTCAGGCGATTTCTGAGGTGTCCCTACCCTGAAGTGCTTTAAATTTTAACCCCAGCATATGTGATTTATTCATGTTTTCCTTATTAATGTAGCCTTTAATTAATTTTCTAAAGATTGTTTCAATAGTAAAAAGTGCCCGCTTACTGATTTTTATCCCAACACACCAAAATTTACAAAATTTCATACAACACATCAGGAAAAGATAGCTTAACCCGGAGGGCTGAAGTGATTAACTTGGCTCTACTTTTTGTTCATGAAAATATAGCGCAATAATGTTTTCACAAACAGTAACATTATAGAAGGTTAAAACTGGACACAATTAAGCCGCTTTTATACTGTGATAGCATTAGCCTTTTAAAAGCAGCTTCCGAGGTAAACGAATACAGGAACATTAACCAATCAAATCAACAAGCTAGTTTGAGTGCCACAAACCCATCTCTGATTAAGCCAGACAAGAAAATAAACGTTTCCTGTAACATGTTAGAAACATTTAGGTAAGGTAGGTTGGCAGGCAACAAAATTTATTTTAACAAATAGTTTTATATGGTGTATATGGAGTGATCTGGATGCTAACAGTGTTTCTGAAAATTGCCTTAAAAAGTTAAGGGTAGACACAAAAAAATATGGTAGGTAGGGTTACTGGAAACACAATTTTTTTTTGGCCTCAACAAGAGATTAATTATTGATTTGAACAAGTAATTAGGTGCCTAGGTGTATTATCAGGTTGGGGAAAACCACCAACTTGCATATCATATGCAAACTCATCATTTATACGCCAGTTAGAGTATGGATTTTTGTACTAAAAATAACCCAAATCGCTTTAACAGTAACTTTTGCAAGATATAATTAAAAATCCCATGAATTTACCATAAGGTAAATAATATTTTGCTGAAAGATGTTTACTAAAAGCGTTGGCTACTTAGAAACTTGATGTAACTTTACCGGAAGTATTGCATCTATTTTTGGAACTTTCACACATGCAAATTATGTTTATTTTTGCATTTGTATTAATATGTTTCATGACTGAATAAATGCGACTTGGACAAACAATTTGAAAAAGTTAAAATTAAAGTGATTTTGGCTATTTTTAGTAACAAATCCATATCCCTATTGACGTATAATAGGCGAGTTTGCATATTATACGCA